CTGCATGCCCCATCATCCCCCCCCCCACTCTGCAGTTCGGTCGCCATGGAAACCAAACAACACAAAAGAGCCCACTTTCAACGGGGGGGGGGGGGGGGGTCACTTTGACTGATCCTGTCTGTGTAGAGGAATGAAATCCCAGCATGCTACGGAGGTTAAGGGCTGGTCTGGAGGGATGGGGGGGAGTACCATGATGTCACCACAACTGGGACTTAGGGAAGCTATTTTTCTACTTTTTTTAAAGCCGATTTTACATGCTGGGACGCGATCTGCGTGGAAAAAACCTGAAAAGCTGTGAGATGTTGCCACGCCGACGGTCGGAGCTGCTTCCTCCACCGCAGGACGCGATTGGCCGAAAAGTCTGCTCTGCTTGGGACCTCGTTTTCTGAGGGGGGAAGCCTCTCTAGCTCCCCCTCAAACACCTCACTTTGGATTTGTTTGAGCCGGGTTTGTCGGATGCTGAACGGCTGATGGCTGCTCGGTGTCCCATCACATTTTGTTGGGTTTTTCTTCTTCTTTTTTTTCCTAATTGATTGAGTTTCATGTGAGGAATGAACTCGCTATGAAGCCGCTGTTCACGTCCACCTATTTGGTTCAGCTGGAAGGTGTTGGTGGGGCTTCTGCTCGGATCAAATCCCAAATCCAGCTTTTTAAGCGGTGGAAAGCGGGTTATAGAGCGTTTGCTGTGGTTTTGAATCACCCTCACGGCACACAAACGGGCTTCCCCTTCGAAGAGCTAATGGCTTCACTTGAAAATCACCCTATTTACCCCTGGACACATCCCCACATCCACTGGTTTCTCCAACCGGAAACGCCAGGAGGCAGAAGCACAAGGTGCTTTGATCGAATCCCTTCCTCTGGGATCCCGTCGTCTCGGCAGAAGCTGGACGCTAGCATCAGAAGCAGATAGTTTTTTGACCCCCCCCTGGAAAATACGGTACATCAGCGCTGGGCTCTGACCCACAAAGCTCCCTGAGGATCTCAGTTGGCAAGAACCCCGAAATCCAGGTGTGATCGATATCTGTCATCTAAGCTGGTTCTGCCCATAAGAAAGCAAAACCGGACACAACCGAGTGCTATTAGCCAGTTAGTTCTGACATGAACAGGCCAGGTCCTAATTCATGCAGATTTCACTGGAATGTGGTAACAAAGTGTGCGTGTGTGTGTTGACCTAAAGATGTCTATTTACTGTAACAGAGAGAAGAAGAAAATCTGTGAGCACAACCAGAGTTTAACACAAAAATACCGTATTTTCCGGAGTATCTATCGCAGTATTTTTCATAGTTTTTCCGGGGGTGCGACTTATGTGTGAAATTATGAACACATTATTATATAATTTCACATGTTATTTTCACTTTAAACCGCAAGAGGGTGCTCTAGGCCTGTGTTGATCATTTCAACATTGGCGGTAACTTATAAAATAACTAAGAAGGGCTTAAAAAAATGGCACCGAAAAGAAAATCATACCGCCAAAAACGGTGATCGAGCAGCAGAAATAAAGTTTGGAGTTAGCGAGAAAAACCTCGGAGACTACTCTTACTGAAAACATGGGTTATTGAACAACGTGCTGTCGGGAGAGATCCAATAGCGACTTATAGATGTCTTTTCCTTCTTTATTATGCATTTTATGGCCAGTGCGATTTGTACTTTGGAGCGACTTGTAATCCAGAAAATACGGTATAGTTCAAGAGGAATAAGACAATCGGGTGTGGTGGTCAGTAGCTTCGCCTCCCAGCAAGAAGGTTCTGGGTTGGAGTCCCCGGGGGAACCAGAACCAGAGGGTTCTGGGTTGGAGTCCCGGGGGAACCAGGACCAGAGGGTTCTGGGTTGGAGTCCCGGGGGAACCAGGACCAGAGGGTTCTGGGTTGGAGTCCCCGGGGGAACCAGGACCTTTCTGGGTGGAGTCTGCATGTTCTCCTGTGTCTGTGGGTTCTCTCCGGGTTCTCCGGCTTCCTCCCACCGTCCAAAAACCTGCATGTTAGGCTGGTTGGACTCCAAACTGCCCTTAGTGTGAGTGTGTGTGGTTGTTGGTCCTTGTGTGTCTCTGTGTGTCCCTGTGATGGACTGGGGACCGTCCAGGGTGACCCCGCCTCTCCCCATTGGCTACTGGGATAGACTCCAGTTCCCCCCCATTAGGGAATAAGGGTATTGATAATGGATGGATGGATGTCATAGCAAACAATGCTAAAATGAGCAACTAGAGCCCAGTTTTAAAAAGCAGAACCCGGTTAGGACCCAGTTGCTCCTTTTGAGGGGAAAACCTTTGCAGGAGGGATTTGTGTGTCGGATCCTCGGCTCCCCACCCCGACAGTGTGTGTGTGCATGTGTGTGTGCGTGTGTGTGTGTACGTATGTGTCTGTACATGTGTGTGTGTGCAGCAGGTGGTGTACATTTCACTGTACAGCGCTGATGTTTTTTTAGGACTGCGTGTCGCCCCCTTTTGCCTGCAGACGCCCAGAAAAGACTGAGAATCCTCTAAGTTCAATGCACATGAAAAAATAAGACCAACTTCTACTCAAGCACTAAAGACGACACTGGAAGCACACCGTTGAAGAATCACACACTGTAATATTTGTGTAATATGTGCGACTGAACTTTTTTCGTTTGTTTTTTTTCAAAAGAAAAGTAGCCACAAAAAAAAGAAAAGAGAAACTTTTGTAAAGATAGAAAAAAAAGAAATGAGGCAGAGAAAAACCTTCTGGTAATGTGTTGTTTTTTTTTTGTTTTTTTGGGTGTGTTTAACCAAAACCCCCCCCCACCCCCCCCCGTTATGCATTTCTGGGTTTGTTTGAAGCCCAATCCAGAACCGTGAGTCCACCGGCTGAGAGACGTTTACAGAGCGATATTAAATGCACTTTTACAGGTTACAGGTTCAAAACTGTGTTTGTGGGGGGGGGGGGACTGTGACACTGTGGGGCTGCCGGCTCCGGTTTAATTCATGACTAAGTTAATAACAAACTGAGATTTCTGTGAGTGCTGATGAGGAGAGATGACAGTGAACGGCGTCTCATTCCACCGGCTGGTTGCCATTATCCACCTTAACCAGTAAAACTGGACTTCCTGTTCACGTTTCAATCACAGCTAATCTCCTAGCCACACAAGGCGGATCTTAAAATATTTTTTCACACATGAGATGCAACTTTTAAACAGGGGACCCTTAAAAAAATAGCTCTTTTGAGACATATTAAGAAGACAAAAGTCAACTTTCTCGCCGTGTGTCAACGGAAATTATGCTAATCAAGACATGAAGCGATGACGTGAACTATTGACGTGGATTTTTACTAGTTAGCACTCCTTAGAATAGCAGAAATTGCGTTTACATGGACAGATGTCTTTTTGGCTCACTATGTCACTTTATCGTTGCCATGAATGAATTTAGCTGCAGAATTAAGCAAAATTCATCTTAAACTAATTTACCTAGCTAGCTAGTTTACTGGCCAGCTAGGTAGCCAATAAGCTACAGAAAACAAACTTTAGCTAGCCAAAATAACCTAACTAGCTTGTTGGCGAGCTAGGTAGCCAATAAGATAGCTAGGTAGCCAATAAGGTACCAAAAACAAAGGCTAGCTAGCTAGATTATTTGTAAGCTAGGTAGCCAATAAACTACAGAAAACAAAGGTTAGCAAGCAAAATTAATCTACCTAGCCATCTAGCTTGTTGGCTAGCTAGGTAGCCAATAAGTTACCAAAAATCAAAGGTTAGCTAGCGAGATTGGCTGGCTAGGATGCTAGCCACGTAGCCAATAAATTATCATTTTACAAAGCATATTTTAACATCCATTTAGTTTGAAAACCGGCAACATTTCCACATGAAACTTTTCTGAACAGTTTCCAACCAGCTTCACCGGTGGGGCCGTTATTTCCATCATGTGTAATCATTCTTGATATTTCCTATGATTACACGGTAACTTTGGATAAAACTAGTAACATTTGTATGTTTTCTGTTTTCAACAAGTTTACATGAAAGTCCTTAGTGCGATTCCGGATTGGGCTCTTAATAATGGTACATGTGTTGATATTGTGTATTTTTTTCAAAATCGTGTAAAGTTATATTCTATGTAATATACTATTTTTCTATGACAACATTACTCTTCCAAAAGATAGGAAGAAAAAAACAATAAAAGTAACGGTAAAATCAATTGTAAACGTTTGTTGTGGTTGTCATTTGACTTTCTCATTTTCTAATAAATGAGTGTACTGCTATGCTTCTCTTTTTGAGAAAAGGAAAGATCGAAAGCAAAAAAAATAAAATGTCTGACTTTGTGGGATGCGTGGCCTGTTTATTCATGCATGCCATGATAACAAATAAATAAATAAAAAACAGGAATGATGAGGCTTTGTGTTTTTAAGGAAGGCAGACTGACTCTGTAAGAGTTTAGCGCCCAATTGAAAAACTACAGATTCAAGCGGTCAAAATGTAATTTTTTAGAAACAAGACAGAAGGATTGCACAAACAGAAGTCTTTAAATATGGATATTTTTGTTTTAGATGGAAAGAAATCCTATATGTAATAGCATTTACAAACGTTTTTCTACCTAGCTTTCTACCTTGTTGGCTAGCTAGGTAATTGTTGGCTGGCTAGCTCATTTGTTCTTAAAAATGTACATAAAAAGCAAATATCATTGCTTTTCAATGCAAATTGTCAAAATCCATCTGATTATCATCCATCTACTACATAGTAGTTGACATTTTACGAAGCCTGACATGTGGCAGACTCATCATGGGGATTCTTTTGGGGCGTAGATTGCATTTCAAGGGACCAAAAGCACAAAAAAACCCCAGCTCTACCGTTCTTAATCAAAGTTTGGAACTGATGCAGACTTCATAAATCCGTCTCTAAGTCTTCCCAAACGGT